TCTGTCGCCAGGCTGTAGTGCAATGGTGAGATCTCAGCTCACGGTAACCTCCGCCGCCTGAGTTCAAGCGATTCTCCTGCCTCACTCAGCCTTCCGAGTAGCTGGGATTACAGGTGCGGGCCACCATGCCTTACTAATATTTGTATTTTTAGTAGAGATGGGGTTTCACCGTGTTGGCCAGGATGGTCTCAGTCTCTTGACCTAATGATCCACTCACCTCGGCCTCCCAAAGTGCTGGGATTACAGGCGTGAGCCACTGTGCCCAGCCTGCAATTATTTTTAAAAGCTCACATTTTAATGTCCAATCTAAGTTTTCACTATAGTTTACAAGTTTCCTTCATAGTTCTAAAAATAGTTAAATAAATAACCAAACATATCTTCTTTTTCTGAATATCTTTAAAATATTTATTTTTCATTTACAAAGTTAACATATTATTTTAAAATTTTAAACTATAGGAATGTAAGAAGTAAAATTATCTCAACACACAAAGATAACTTCTCTTGACAGTTCCTATCCTTTCATGTTTTTCAGTATGCATAGTTCTGTGTATACATACATCGTATACGTATTAGTGCTTGTATGTATACTTTACATATTGTTCTGTAGTCAAATGTTCTCAGCAGGATTTTATGAATTTTTCTTTTACATTAAATAGATACACTATGATTTTCAAACGTTTGTTCATGTGATTATAATTTTATGTGTTAACGTGAATAGTCCACGAGATGCCCAGATAGCTGATTAAACACTGTTTCTGGGTGTCTCTGTGAGCGGGTTTTCATTTGAACTGGTGAACTGAGTAAATCAGATGGCCTTCCCTAGAATGTGTAAGCATCATTTAATTCATTGAGGGCCTGAAAAGAACAAAAATGTGGAGGAAGTTTGAATTTGCTCTTTACCTAACAGCTCAAGCAGAGACATCATTCTCTTGCCCTTAGTGTTCTTGCCTCTCAGGCCATCAGACCCTGACTAGAATCTATACCACTGATGCCCTCAGGCTTTCAAACTATACCCCCAGCTTTCCTAGGTCTCCAGCTTGCAGATGGGTGAACATGGGACTTCTCAGACTTCACAATTTCGCCAATTCCTTATCATAAATCTCACTTTATATGTATCTGTTACTATCTATCTCTATATGTAGATATGAGAGATATAAGATCTATAGATATCTATATGTATATATAGAGAGAGATACCATTGGTTTGCTTTTCTGGAGAATCCTGGCTAATACATGTAGTACTGACATTATTTTTTTAAGTACAATTAATTGATAACATAGATTCACTTTTGCAACTTGTTTTTCACATGAAATGTAGCATGTAAAGTCTTTCTAGATGAAAACATGTATATGTACTTCATTCTTTTTTGATGCTACATAGTATTTTATTGTATTGATACACCACAACGGAGTGAACTATTCATTCTTTTCTTGATGGATATTAAGGTCATTTTCCGTGTTCCAAATGATAGCCTCTTGATTTATTTCTGTGTACTTACACAAATATGGGGTGGATTTCTGAGTTATTGAATGTGAACAATTAAAATTTGATAAATATCACCAAAGTGCCTTTTGGAGAGTGTACATAAATAGCAATCTGTTATTAACTCTGGGTATTGTCACTTAAATATTTTAGGGAAACATTAGAGGTAAAAATGATGTAGTTGTTTTAATTTTGCATTTTCATTATTTTTAGTGATTTTGAGCAGTATTATATTTATTAACATTTTATTCTTTCTTATCTAACTTACTTGTCCTTATCCACTGCTAATCTATCTTTTAGTTATTTTTCACTTTGTTTACAGAACTCTCTTCTCCTTATGTACAATAAATTGTTGTTTATATATTTCCAAAATGTCTTTTAACTTTGCTTATAAATCATCGAGTAAACTAATGGGTACATGAGGGACTGATATAAAATATTATAGCCTGGTAATTAAATAAAACATGTTAAGTTCATAATAGGCACTATACCCAGGCTGCTGTGGGGTCATAGAAGAGTGTTAGCTAGAGCTAAGTGGAGGGTAAAAGAAGGCCAGCTGCACCAGGTGAGACTTGAGCTACGTTTTAAAATATGACTAGAGGCCAGGAACAGTAGCTCACACCTATAATCCTAGCACTTTGGGAGGCTGAGGTGGGCAGATCACAAGGTTAGGAGTTCAAGACAAGGCTGGCCAATATGGTGAAGCCCCATCGCTACTAAAAATACAAAAAATAGCCAGGCATGGTGGTGGGTGCCTGTAGTCCCAGCTGCTCGGAAGGCTGAGGCAGGAGAATCACTTGAACTTGGGAGGTGGAAGTTGCAGTGAACCAAGATAACACCATTGCACTCCAGCCTGAGACTCTGTCTCAAAAAAAAATTAAAAAAAGAACATATAACTAGAAATTGTTACGTCCAAGAAGATGAAGAAGTTATTCTGGGAAGAGGATGTAGCAATCCAGATAGAAGACAGCAAGGTCTTTTCTGGAAATTACAAGTTGTTCACTTTGCCTAGAGCAAAAGGTACTGTACAGAGAGCTATGGCACAGAGAGCTGTGAGATGGGGTTGCAGAGAGGGAGAGGACACGTTTATGAATGGCTTGGTATGTTAAGATAAGGCATTTGAGCTTTACCCTGAAAATGTGGGGAGCCATCAATGTATCTAGATTTGGATTTTAAGAACACTATTCTAATACAAAATAAAAATAGTTCAGAAGGAGTCAGTCAGGATGCTGAAAGACCAGGTTGTGTTGAGGCGGACATTAAGTTTTTCATTGTCATAATCATCAGGGATCAACATAAAATCTTTTCAAAATTCTCTGTAATTGGAATTTAGTAGTAGACCTGGAAGAATATATACCTGGAGAGTGGGATGATTGGGGTAGAGGGACTTTTTCTTTTCTTCTGTACACATTTTTGTATATTCAAGTTTTATTTTTTCAATCAATCGGAGACTTTAATAAGAAAACAATATTTTTTAAAAACTGCACCAATAACCGATGGGAAAGATCTGACTTGTAAATTTTTTGTGCTAAGTACTGAGTACTTTGATGGACCATCAAATCTGTCTGAAACCAAATGTGAATATGGTACTAAGCGTGGGTGTACTAATAGTCGGTTATATTAGTAGTTTATAGTATTCTAAAAAAGAGTCTTTATACTCTGCTCTGCAATAGTAGGAAACAAAGTGTTTTCACTTTGAGTGTCAAAATTGAGATGATCAACTTGGACCATGCATAGGAGAAAGGAACTGTGAGAGAAATGACTTAAAATCATATCAGATAAGGAATCATTAAATAAAATGGTTACGTATGTATGTATATGTATACATAGAGAAATATATATATATCACAAATTGTCAAATTATATACCTTAAACATATATAATCTTATTTGTCAGTTACACTTCAATAAAGCTAGGGAAAAATGGAAAATGAGGATGTATTTAGAGCAGGTCAGACAAAATATTTCATTTCAGTTAATAATAATACTTTATTAAATTTCTAATAGAAATAAAACAAGAAATTGAAGTGGCAAGAGGACAGCTTTTGATATAAAAAAGGAAGAAATCAAATGGATGTCACCTTTTTTATGACCAGAAACTGATATTCCTTACGTTTTTGCCAACTTCTCTTAAACTGGCAAAGACTGCAGTATTTATTCATTTAATTGATTGTTATGGCTCATGGTACGTGATGGATTCCATAAAAGCCAGCCATACATATTTGTTTGCAAATTCATTTAATAAGTTTGCATACATTTTTCTCATTAAATAAAACTAACAGGTTCATTTCTTAAGTTGATTGCATTAGATCTATTTTCATGTTTTTATGCTAGTACACTAAGTGGTAGTATTAATAACATTAAATAATTTATTTTGTCAGTATTACTGAATCTCTTCCTGACTTAACCATAAATACCTTCTCCTCTCACACGCTCTACATACACAACGTGCCATTCTTGTCCCCATTGTCTTTACCTTTGCTGAAGTTTTATTGTACCCAGCCATTGTATTATATCTTCTCACTAACAAAGGTGGAGTGGAGTCAGCTGAAAAAGAGAGCTACCGTACATGGTCTAGTTCTGGGCAAATGTCAAAAACCTCAGAAGCTAAAATTGTAGTTTCATCCTGTAGACTTGGGATCCTGGCACCTGAGCAGATTATAATCACCCTACAACCCCTCATTAGCCTGAAGTAGAATACACTGGACTATGGGATATACTCTGTTCTGTCATCTTGGGCTGGTCATATGGTAAGGCCTAAAAAAATCCCACAATTTACATTTTTCTAATGTCTTTATATACTTCTAAAATGTCTAATGTTTTAGCTCTAGGAAAATATTGCTTACCTAACATAATTTGGACATTGTTTCACAAATATGCTCAAGTTCTTTGGTTGGTAAATACATGTATCAGTTCATCTCCAGAGAACAGAACCAACAGGATGTATGTGTGTGTGTACATGTATGAGGAGACTGATTACAAGGAACTGGCTCATGTGATTATCAAGGCTGTCAAGTCCCAAGATATGCAGGGTGAGCCATAGCTGAGTCTGGCAGTATCACTCTAGTCTCAGTTTAAAGACCTGAGAATCAGGAGAGCCAATGGTATAGTTTGAGACTAAAGACCAGCAGGCTGTAGACCTAGGAAGAGTCAGTGTTTCTCTCTGAGTCTGAAGGCTGGAGAAAAACCCATGCCCCAGAATGTGAGCAGGAGGCATTCTCTCTTAGTCAGCGTTTTTATTCTATTCAGGCCTTCAACTGAATGGATGAGACCTGCCCACATTGGGAGAATGAACTCCTTTATTCAGTCAACAGGTTTAAATGTTAATCTCATCCAAAAACACCCTTACCGACGCACTCAAAATAATGTTTGATCAAATGTCTGGACATCCTGTGGCCCAATTAGGTTGACATATAAAATCAAACATCACAGTACACTTAATCGATCAGGTGTTACTATTGCTTATTATTATTTGTTACATGTTGTCTGTTTTATCAATGCTTTCTTTTCCCTACCCAGGAATTATTTATTTATCATCACCTCTTAGTCATTTGGAGTCTACTACACTTTCACTGATGGTCACTGCTCAAGATGGTGGTGGGCTCGCAGCTCTCATTAATGCCGATGTTACCATACACATTTTCCAGACAACTCTGGTGACTGCCGAGTTTGAAAAGCCTAAGTACACATTTTTAGTTTATGAAGATGTGCCTGAAGATAGTCCTGTTGGAACAGTGAAAGCAAGAGAGCCCTTGAGTAAGTTCTTATTTCTTATGCTGCTGCAAGTCCATTATTGGAACATTTCTTGTTTTTCCTAGCCTGTGCAATTGTGTTTTTTTTTCTTCTTTCCATGCAAGTCAAAACAGGGGAGATAACACAACCTGTGGCTTACTCTTTGTTCTTCCATTTGTTTCTGTCCATCCCACAATGTTTTCTTCTGATCACAAAAATAACAGGTATGTTTTAAAGAATGTTTAAAAGAATACAGATTACAATATACAAAGTATATGTCTGCTATAACCCACTCACCAAAACACACACACACACAAACACAATTTACAAGTTTTTGACAAAAATGCATCCTTCCGTATTTGTTGTTATAGAGCTTCTTTCCCCTCTTAGTACATACTGAACAACTTTTCAGATAACTGGGCGTCATTCTGTCTCCTTAAAAGAAAGTAGTAAACATTTTCCTTATGCTACCAATTTGAATGATCTAAAAAATATTACTAGTCCAAGTAGTGCTTGAGCAAATAGCTGTGTGTGACTTTTTCACACTTGTAGAGGAACCTCAGCAGGATAAATGATACACTGTACAAGGGTGAACCTCCTAGAAATGAATTACCTCTTCAAAGAGCTTGTCCTCCTCCTGGTCCTCTCCTCTTCCTTCTTCTCTCCCTTCCTTCAATCTCTATGGAGAATATTTGCCCTTCATAGGCAGATATAATAGAGAAATGCCAACATAAATTTAACTTGACTTCCTCAAATATATAAAAAAGCTATCTGAATTATTTTCTGAATATCTTTCCCTTTTATCTAATGCAGGAATAATGAAAAAAATTGTGAAACCTGTAGCTTGCTCTTTGCCCATTGGACCTTCTTTTTATACACCAAAAAAATCTTAAATCCATGTGTCCACTTTTCAACAGGCTTTGGAGAGCAGAGAAAGTCAGACATTGCACAGTAGTCTCTGTAGATGGAGAACATACAATCACGCCTCTTAACGATGGGAAATGTTCTGAGAAATGCCTCACTAGAAGATTTTGTTATTGTGCAGACATCACAGAGTGTACTCACATGAACCTAGGTGGTGTGACCTAACAGACACCTAGGCTAAATGTTATAGTCGATTGCTTCTAGGCTACAAACCTGCACAGCATATTACTATACTTAATCCTGTAGGCAGTTGTACCCCAATGGTAAGGATTTATGTATGTAAGCATTGAAAAGGTACAGTAAAATACGTGTCAGAATCTTGTGGAACCATCATAGCATATGTGGTCCATCGTTGACTGAAGTGTTATTAGGCAATGCATGATTGTATTGTTTCCATTTCTAAGTTTCCACTAAGTCTACCCTTTTGACATGCAGTGGTTGCCCCCTCTCTCTTTTTCAGACTCCTCAGAACCAATCCTTTACAGGATTTCTTCTGGTGATCTGGGCGGGAAGTTCTCCATTCACCCGTGGCTGGGCACTATTCGCACCCGGAGGCCACTGGATCACGAGACGCAGCCGGTGGTTGTGCTCACCGTGCAGGCGCAGCTCGGCAGCGCCCCAGCCTGCAGCAGCACGGAGGTCAACGTAACCGTCCTGGATGTCAACGACAACCACCCAGCGTTCCTCAGGACCTCGGATGAGATTAGAATATCCCAGACCACGCCGCCTGGCACAGCCTTGTACCTCGCACGTGCGGAAGACAGAGACAGCGGGCGGAATGGGCTCATCCGGTATGCCATCGCCAGCCCTCAGCCGAGTGTCTTTGCCATCGACAGAACCCTGGGGGTGCTGTTCCTCAACGGCAGCCTGGGCGCAGGCGAGCCCCGGGAGCGCACGCTGACTCTCAGGGCCGAGGACCACGGCGTGCCTCCTCGGGCAGCCCTGCTGCTGCTGACGGTCATTATCGAGAAACGAGAACCCAGCCCATCCTGGACGTTCGAACACTTGGTGTATCAAGTGGAAGTCAGCGAGTCACTCTCACTGACGACACAAATACTGCAAACACAGGTGCACCCACTTGGCCCCCAGCGTGCAGCCTCGCCGCTTAGGTACTCGCTGGAACCCAGCTTAGACTCTGCTATGTTTGGAATCCGCCCTTACACTGGCTGGATTTATTTGCGGCGACAGCTCGACTATGAATCCACCCAAACATATAATTTTAGAGTGTTTGCTTGGATCCCCGAGGACGGATTGTTGCAAAATGTGAGCACTGCGGTCATTGTTCATGTCCGGGATGAGAATGACAATTTCCCCACCTTCTTGCATGATGTGTTGTTTTTGAAAGTCGAAGAGAGCCCTGTTCCCCAAGGGGTAATAGGCAAAATTACAGCTATTGACATGGACTCTGGAAAGAACGGACAGCTATTATATTTCCTTTTGTCCGATGGAAAATTCTTCAAGATGAATCCTAATACAGGTAGCACTTTATAGTTTCCACCTATTCCTTTAAAAGGAGGATTGAGTATGATCACACTGGTCTTTAAGTAAAAATAGAAATAAAATATAATTAGTGTTGACAAAACTCAAATCGTTAGATGCAGCATTAGTGCGTACAAGCAACTGAAATTTGGTTTTTAATAAATACAGTATTTGATTACTGTATTGTGAGATCTTAAAAATGGAGTGAAAATTGAATAGAGTTTCACTCATAATGATTTATACTTTTTTTTTTTTTGCAACACATGCACATCTTGCCAATATACGGTTCTTTTTCTGAACTAGAGATATACTCAGAACTGGAGTGAAAATATTCTCGTGTAAAGGCTAATTTTTTTTTAGCAACCATCCTTTTCCAATTGTAGACTTTAAAAAAAGTCAAAACATATTTTGTGAAATAGAAATATCAGTGTAAAACTAGAAATCGATTCATTGGTTAAGATTTCAACATCACTCTAAGAATATATGTCCTCATTCTCATTCTGACAGGGAAACCAGAGGAAAAAGTGGAATCATTACAATGGATTTTTTGAAGTCTGAATTAAGAAATTATATATTAAGAGTCATTATATTTTAAAATTTATATTGTATAAGCTTATGGGGAGTTTATTTAATCCTTACAATGCAATATATTTCTATTTCAAATGCATAGCTGGGGAAACTGGGACTCAGGTAGGTCAAGTAGTATACTCAAGGTCACAGAGCTGGTAAGATTGAGAGGAAGCCCCTGCTTTGCACAGGATACACCATCAATGTCATAACCTGGGCAGATGACTTTAGTGGGACAGATTTTGCATTCAGTTCTGATAAACTTCAAGCCTTTGTTCTCAAACCTCTGTTGTGTGAATTAGGAGAAGGTGGCCTTTCTCAGCAGATGGAAGGTTTCACAGGGCACATGGCTTACCAAGGAGGTTGCAAGCTGCCTTTCTTCTCTCATTCATTTCCTAAGCTGGGGCTCCTTCTGCGAGGGCACAAACCGTACAAGTATACAGGATGACCCTGCTTGCACTTTACTTCCATATGGCTACTACCTAGGTCTTCTATTTCAGTTGGTAATTATTTTTTTTTAAATAAGCAAACTACATTTGGTTCCTCCATAATCTCCCCTCCCCTATGAGAAGACCAGGTATGTCCATTCCTAATTTCGTTGTATGGCTTTAAGCAAGCAGCTTAAGCTCAGATTGTTTTTTTTTTTTTTTTTTTTTTTTTTTTTTTATTTACCATGAATACAGGAGATAATTCCTGACATGTGCTGTGCCATGTTTGTTTTCAGGGGTAAAGAGCCAAAGAGTATGAAGGGGCTTATAAGATTATGTGCTTGTAAACTGTTCCTCCTCCCAAGGACAACATGGCAAGGCAGGGTGGAGGGAAGGTGTCCAGAGCCTCGGAGACACACCCCTTTACATCCAGTGCTCCGGACTGTGTTTCAAGTGACAGGGACTTGAGCTCCTGTGGAACCCTACCCTGGTGTCACTAGAAATCGATTCATTGGTTAAGATTTCAAAATCTTAAAAGATTTCAAAATGAACTGCACAGTCTTTTACACCCCTGACCTCGAAGGCTGCTGCTTACCCATCAGATTTGCTTTATGAATAAAAATCTATTTGTCATTCAGAAGTTAAGGTCTTCAGAGGAGAATTACAGTTTGGAATTTACAAAATGTAGTTGTGTTTATGATCTATATTAAAACCTCAGAATAAACACTATAAATATAGTTTATATATTAATGGTAAACAGTTGTCATATATACTGAATTTAAGCTCACTAATTCTGCAACTTACCTAAAGGAGAATTTTCATTTTCATTCCTTGTTTCCACTTTTCTTTTTTACACAGTGCTATTTTATTTGTATTAAGAGGAAAAAAAATTTTAGCATAGAAATGTTTGTTGGTAGCTGCTTCATGCTTACATTCTCACAAGTACATTTTTTTTTCATAAATGATGAGGAAACCAATGATTGGCAGAGCTCTGCCACAGCAGACAGGCTACTGGACTGAGTGCTTGTCTTCGCAAGGCCCCTGGCAACAGGGAGAGGCAGTTAGATGTTATGCCTGGGTCTGCGTGGCTGATACATGAGGGAAATTACCAAAGGCAGTGCAGCTCTAGGCAGAAATATTTGAAATAAAACTTCTGAAGCATTAAGAGTTTTTAGGAAGTCACTATCCATTGCTACCTGTATATTTTGTGAGATAAAAAATATTTTGTGTACATAAACAAAAACTTTTGCCTAAGGAATATTATTTGATTTTCAGAAAGATATTTAGCCGCGATGTTAAAGTAGTGGTAACTGTCATTTGTGTAATCATGTATAGCTTACACAACACTTCTAGATGTGTGATTACATTTCTTCCTGACAGCAATCCCAGGCTCGGAGAGGTCATTACATGTCTGAGGTGGGGAACCTGGGGCCCAAATCCAGAACTTGTGTCGGAGCTAATGTGGTTTCTATCATCCTGTATAGCAGCATAAAGAGGGATAAACAGCAGTTTTAAATCTTCCAAATCATTACTAAATGCCTACAGAGTTTTATCATTTTTATGAATTCTTTTTTTTTTTAGATCAAATGATTGATGGACGATAATTTGAAATACAAAGAATAACAAATTTAAGGTGATATTTTCAGGAGCAACTTGAGAACATTTTTTTCAATAGTACCATAGAACCAAACTTCTGTGTAGATGGGCTTAGAAGTCGCACGTTTGCTCCAAGCTTTGTATTCGGTTTTCCTTCTGGAAATTGTTCCGGCTGTGGTATGCCTGGTACACAGTGCCTGTGTCTTGTTCTGCTCTGTGCTCTGCAGGAGAGTTGATCAGTTGGGTGGCACTGGATCGTGAGCACCAGGGGCATCATCAGATGACTGTGCTAGTGACGGACTGTGGCTCCCCACCACGAAATGCCACCATGGCGGTTTACGTCTCAGTGACTGACATAAATGATAACAAGCCCTTCTTCCCCCAGTGTCTCCCTGGAAAGGAGTTACACGTGAAGGTTTGTGAAGTGGCCTTGCAATGAAGTGGTAATATCTTTAGTCATTTGTTTTGAGCACCATCTTGTGGTAAAACGTGAATTTATCACATCAGTCTTGCAGTCTTGGTGTGGCAAAGCATACTTTTTGTAGAAAACCTAGATATTGTACACATATTTAAAGAAAAAAGTTTTAAAAAGTTAATGGATATCGCTTCTCGGCCTTTTGGCTAAGATCAAGTGTAAAAGTTAATGGATATATGTACTCTTTGGCATTGTACCTCCAGTTGCTTTATAATAATGAGTGTAATTCGGACCTTCGTACACAGACTGAATGGTGTTTCAGGATAATGCTGAGACATGGCTTGTTTTTCCAGTAGTTTTAGTTTACATGCATCTTTTTGTGCAGAACTTCTTAAGGGAAATTGATATACATCTCTAAGATAGTTACTTAAGTGTAGGGGAACAATCAGTAGCTCCTAAGTGGGTAGGTAGGTGGACATCCAGAGATAGTAAAAGTTGGTCCTTTTGATCACATGCACAAACTTGCAACAGTATGTATATTATCTCATCTTTTTCATTTCTGTCTTTTTGTATGTTTTATAACATACATAATAAATTAGAATACCCATTCATTCACATAATAAATAAATATGTTTGGATACTAGTAATTTTTTTAGTGGATGGGTTATAATAATGAAAAGTTTAGAAGCTACCATTCCAGAACAATTGAATTAGACATTCAAATTGTGCTCAAATATACACATTGAACAACTCAACAAGAGTATTGAGGAACTTATAACTTTAAACTGATATTCTGAATCCAGCTTTAAAGAAAATTTCTAACAAAACAAAATATTATTATATTATCATTATGCCTTTTTATGATATCTTTAAAATGTCCTGTGGCTTAATTGGGCAGTTGGACACTAAAACTGAAGTTGAACTTCACATGTGTATTTCGATATTGCAAGACAGCTCCTGATAATTGCTATGTCCTACATGAGGTATGTTTCCTGAATTAAAGGTTCATACTTATTTTAAGCATATTTTAAGCCATAACAACCACCTTTGAAAAATTGTCCTAAGAGATGATGAATATGCTAGAAATCTTAAAATATAAAATACACCACAAATAATTTTTTAGTAAGTTCAATTTCTTTCTTTTTCTTTTTGTCCGAATTAGTTTAGATGCCTCAGATAATTCATTCTAATTGAATAAAAGATTTAATATGAAAGGAGGATGCTTTTTATGGACTTACACCCATATAACTTTTACATGGTACATGTTTGAATTATATGTGAATTTTAAGATAGTTTAAAATGCTTAGTATAATGACTTCATTCATTTAAAGATCCACTGATAGTTCTTTTTAAACTTTTGCTGACTCATTTGTAAGCTGTTTGTTTTAATGGCAGGTTCTGGAAGGTCAACCAGTAAATATGTTGGTTACGACTGTGTTTGCAAAGGATCCTGATGAAGGAAATAATGCAGAAGTTTTATACTCAGTATCTTCAGGTAAAAATTACTGTTCATACAGGATTAAGAACTTTTAGAATTTCTGCTTTCGTTGATCAACTATTCCCTTCTGAGAAAAAGTTACTATTTGGATTACTTAAACTGCTGTAGTTAATCTTGAAAAAACACCAAGTTACAAACAAAATACATTTGCTATTGTCAAGAACTACTTTCAGTTTTTGAAAAAGAATTTATAAGTTAAATGAAAAATCAGAGTAACTTTCTATCATTCATCTTTAGTGAGTAAATTGCAATAACGTGATGTACAAATTTACTTTAATTGATAGGAAAGTGTTAGGGGATAAGAATTGGTATTAAGTATGATTAAGAGTTCCAAGCATCTATGAATCTTTATGAAGACTAAATATTTGTAAGGTCGGAGTAAATCATGCCTACAAAATGTCACATGTACACATATGTGTATGTGTATGGGGAAACTTTATTGAAATGGGCTTACTTTCGTGCTTTCTGTTGGGATATGCAGGCCTCAGATTTTTTCCAGTTATTTATTTTAGTTGGCATTGTGTTTATATAATCTTAAAAGACAATTTGGTACTTTGTCATGGTTCACACAAACATAGGACATAGGAAAGAAGAGACAACATTGCTCTTACCCACAGGTTTGATTATCTTCATGGAAAACCCAAGAGATGCTATAGGCAACCCTTTGGATTTAATAGTCAGTTTTCTGGGAACAATGTCCACCTACGAAACTCACGGATATTTAAAAATGTAGCAGTTTCTAAAGATCTCATTTCCTATGGTGAATTAGCAAAGAACATGAAAGGGTGTAGGGCCCGATCTACTGTGAAGCTAATGAAGCTTAGTTTTGGGGTGTTTTGCTTGCATAGCCTCCCCAGGGTTGAGGGAGAAGTAGACAATTTATTTTTGTTAAGGAGGGCCTCTCAAACTCTATAAACTTCAAAATAACCCAAATAGGATCTGTCTCTGTTAGAAGCATAGAAAAAAATCCAATATAACTTGTGCAAGACTTTCATACAGAAAAGTAAAAAATATTAATGAAGGACATAAAAGAATGAAATGAAAAGCTGTATCATGTTTATGCTTGGGAAGACTCAATATCCTAAAGATGACAATTCTTTTTTTTTTTTAAGATGACAATTCTTAACAAAAATATAATTATTAATTCAGTATGATTTCAATAAAAATTTCAATGAGGATTTGATAGAATTTGACAAGCTGATTCTAAAAGTCATGTGGATGAGTAAAAGACAAGGAATAACTAAAACAATGTCCAAAGAACAAGTGGGAAGTAGGCCTTACCAGGTCTTGATTTGTATAATTTTGTAATTAAGACACTATTATATTGATTCACTGATTAATAAATGGACCAGTTAAAAAGAGTAGGGGTCACACTTGACACATATGGAAACTTGACATATGAGAGTGTGGAAAATAAATGGGGAAAAGAGGGACTATCAGTACATGAAGCTGATATGATTGGTTACCTAGAAGGAAAAAATATCTCTACTCTCAACACACCAAAGATGAATCTTATTAAATGTAGAAACCTTTAACTCTTACAAAAGAAAATATGAGACTGGTTAAATATATGGCATTGAGAATAAAGAAGATGGTTTAAACAAGGAGAAAAGCAGAAACTCACAAAGAGATACATAAAACTATATTAAAATTGAAAACACTACAAAATAGCCCAGTGTTTACAATTTGATTAGTCAAGTCACAAGTTGGGAAAAGATAATTACAGCCCAGTAACCAATACAAAATTATTAAGAACTCCTGCAAGCCAGTAAGAAAAAGACAAATAAATAATAAAGCTGGATGGACAAAGAATATTAACAGACAACTCAAAGAAAAGAAGCCTAAATAATTAAAAAGATTGTTAAGGCATCCAGGACTCCTTGATGTGATGACTTTGAAGAACAGTGAAGCAGTATCTGATAAGATTGGAGATGTGCCTATGCTATACCCTTGCAGTTCTACTTCTGTTACCCTAGAGGAACTCTATATGTGCCCAGTGAGACTGTAACAGGCTATTCACTGAAGCATTATTTCAGTTGTTTGCATAATATGGTGTATTCACGGAATACAACAATGAAAATACAGTAGAGTTTCATACATGGCAGTGTGGATAAATGTTGAATCCAAAGTTAAGCAAGGAAGGCAAGGATTTTACAGAAGATAAAAAGAATTTGATGCAAACAGCAGCTTTGAGTTCATTGCATGCCTTTCATTGGAAAAGTTACATATGTGATTCTTCTCAATACCTCCTTGGTCAGGGAGCAAATTCTTTTCTCATGTTTCTATGCCTGTATAAACCATCCTAATTTCTTTACCTGTCAACATTTCAGAAGTTCTTCCCAAGTTTTCAGGACATTTGAATTGTGAATTATACAGAGGTAGTGAGACTGCAGCACATCCACATTTGTAGGCAGCCCTTCCTCTGTGTCCCTGCTGTCCTCTCCTTCAGAGACTCTCTCCCTGTCCTCCTCCTCTATTATTTTTGTCTTCCCTTTTGTTATTTCTCATATTTATCTTTTTATTGTCTTAGCTTATTCTAATCTGGTCCTTGGGAGGAAGACAAAGTGGCTTTGCATGTGTGTGTTCAAGAATCTTCCTCTGGCTATTAGGTTAGTTAGGTCAATAAGATCTTTACATCTTTTTTTCCTGTTTTATTTGAGGTTGGAGAAGGCACCATGGTGTGCCTGTAAAGATAATGATAGTGAGGAGGAAAGAGACACAAACATACACTGAGATGCACACACACACACACACACACACACGAACACACACGGCTGTAATCCTGCTATAATGCTATTATTTAAAAGCAAGCAGAGCTATGGTATACATTCTTTATGGATGTATGAACTGGAAAGATAAACCTCAACTTTAGTTATAAAAGTGACTTTCTACAGAGAAAGAGGAGGGGAATGAGATTTGGAGCTATATACAGGTCCACTCCTTTATTTATACTCTGTTATTTGTTGGAAAATTTTGAAGAAATATTGAAAATTAATCAATCTAAGAAGTGATAATTTGATGTTCATGTATTTGTGAATGTTCAAAAAATTCTTTTTTAAAAATTAGCTTCTAAAATGATACTTAAGGCATATTGATACAAAAATATGGAGATATATATTACATTATTCACATTTATTTTTTATCTGATAGTAAAATAGAAGCAACTACAAAATATATGGTAAAATAACAAGATGAAGATCAGTGTAAGGGGAATAAATGTATGTATCATATTCGTGAATGCATTCTGTGGTATTTCTATGAGAATAAAATCAATGGATTAAGGCATAGAAATCACAACTAATAGATGTTACATAATTGCTTGCTCCATGCTATGAGTTTCTTGAAGACAGGAATTCTTTTTTATTTGCCTTTGTATCTCTAATAACCTATAAAGTATTTGGTCCATAGTAATGACTCAGCAACTGTTGAACTAAAGAATGGAGAGGTACTTCTACTCAGGATTTATCTGATGTTTGAACTATTTGAGACATTCAGATTTTATTGAAGAACACAAATCTGTTGTTTAACTCAAAACCCTATGACACCAATTTGAATTTTAGCATCAATATGAATGTATATATAGATGTGTGCATGTGTATTTTCTGTCCACTGAAAAAGCCTAGAAATCATGACAAACCCAGAAACAATGAGCACCCCTAATGTCCCAAAAATGTTCTCCCAAAACCGTTTTCCACCAAAAGGAACCAGCAGTCCTTGGAGAAATGGTGATGCCATGTCATGGATAGGAAATCTACAAGATGAGTTTGCACCATTTTGTCATAGTTAGAAGGAGGATACTAAACCTAATAGGATCATATAAAGAGACCCAGGAACCAACTTTAAGAAGATGCCAATGTTCAGCAATGAGACAATTTCAGCATCAATAAGGATAATAATGGCAATATATTGAAACACAACTAATATGTTTAAATTCATGCTTAATGATTCCCAAAACAAAAGCAAGACAAAACATTACTTACCATAGTTTGAACACTGGTGGATATTGGTGAACCAACCCATTATTTCAAAAATTGTTAAAGTTTAACTCATCAAGCATTTATCCTGCCTTTCTTATAATGAACTCTTTCTCTGAAAGTTTCTCTTTATTGAAATATTCCAGAAAAATATGAAAAAGGGATGATAAACCAAAACACAGCACATATTGAGTATCCTTTATCCAAAATGCTTGAGACCTAAGTGTTTTAGCTTTTTGGTATTTTTTTAAAATTTTGGAATATTTGCATATACATAATGAGTTTATCTTGAACATGAGGTCCAAGTGTAAACATGAAATTCATTTTTTCATATGCACCTGTATGCATAGCCTGAAGGTAATTTCATACAACTTTTTTTATAATTTTGTGCATTAAACAAAGTTTTGACTATGTCTTGACTACAGCCCATTAGATGAATCAGGCATAGAGTTTCACGTGTAGTGTCATGTCAATACTCAAATTCTGGATTTGTGAACATTTTGGATATCATATTTTTGGATTTGGGATGTCAACTTGTATTAAACTTTACAATACTTAAAAAGTAGTTAATGAAGTCTGGGTGCGGTGGTTCATGCAGATAATGCCAGCACTTTGGGTGGCCAAGGTGGGCAGATCACGAGGTCAGGAGTTCGAGACCAGCCTGACCAATATGGTGAAACCCTGTCTCTAATAAAAAAAAAAATACAAAAATAAGCTGGGTGTGGTGGCACGCACTTGTAGTCCCAGCCACTTGGGAGGCTGAGGCAGGAGAATCGCTTGAACACGAGACACGGAGGTTGCAGTGAGCCAAGATCGCGACACTGCACTCCAGCCTAGGCGACAGAGAGTGACCCCATCTCAGAAAAATAGTTAATGAATGTAGGCTATACATCAGTGGGGCCAATATCAAAAACAACTAGCTTTTGGCCCATGCCTGTAGTCCCAGCTATCTGGGAGGCCAAGGTGTGAGGATCACTTGTGACCATGAACTCCAGGCTGCAGTGAGCTATCATGGCACAGTTATGCTCCAGCTTGGGTGACAGAGAGAGGACTCATCTTTTTTATTTTTATTTTTTAAGGCAGCTAGACATATGCCTCTAAAGGGAAAAACAGTGTTTGTGAAGTAGTCCTGCAAAAAAGAAAAGAAAATCAAATCTGACCTGAATCTAGTCAGTTCTCTAAATCTATCTCCCAAGTTAAGGAAAACAGAGAATAGAGGAACATATTAGACTGCACGTTGGAGATGCATCAGCAAATTAGATCATGGAAAATGTCAGGATACAAGATCCAATTTATGCAACAAATGAATTACAAGGACAAATAAAGAGATGGCTGGCAAGAATCCATAGTTTAAAGAAATATGCAGTATATGGACTTAATTTTGATTCTAATGTAAACAAACAAGAAAAATAAAGAATATTTATGGGATGACTGAAAATTTGAAAACTTACTGAATATTTGGTGATATTAGTGAATCATTATTAATTTTTAAGGTGTAATATGGTACTGTGACATATGCATGTGTTAAAATATTTCTCATTTTTTAGAGATGCATTTTGAAAAATATACAGAAGAAATTATATTATTTCTGGAACTTTAAAAAAATGTGAAAATAGAAGTATATACATCAGGAATAGATTAAATAAGATAGGCCATGAATTGATCGTTGTTTAAGTTAGGTGATGGACTCGTGAAAGTTTACAAAAGGATGTATCCTTTTGTTCACTTTTGTATATGGTTGACATTTTCTGTGATACAACTTTTAAAAGGTGATGTTTCTTGTCTATTTTTAGTGCCATTTTTGTGTTCATACTCTCATAGAATTTAAACCAAATAAATCTTCCCAATGATCAAGATATTGGATTAGGTGATTCTCTGTTTTCGGCATTGCCAATTAATATTCATTTCTTAATTTTCTTTTGTGTTTATAGAAGATAGTTCTGATCATTTTAAGATTGATGCCAACAGTGGTGAAATAAGAACAACCACAATACTTTCATATGATTACAGACCTTCCTACAGAATGACTGTCATGGCCACTGACCAGGGAGTGCCTCCTCTTCAAGGACAGGCAGTTGTTAATATTCAGGTAATGTCATCACCATAAAATGTGGAAGGACATTTAAGGATTTCATTTGACTTTTATTACAAGTTTATAGAGTGAAGATAAATGTAATATGTAGGTATATGAATATGTATGTATGTGACATGAATACTGCTTTAAGAGAGCATTGTACATAGCATATTTAGCTTCTTGATATCACTAGAGAAATGATTTAGATCCAAATTATTTGCAAATTAGCTTTGTACAGTTCTTGACAAGATAGTCATCACTATATTGGTATTTATATTGCTTGTTTATAATGAACAAAAGGTATCTTTTCTTGTACTTATTCCTAATATCAAGGAGCTGGTAAATGTGCAGGAGAAACTTCTTATGTAAACAAATGGCCATGTAATAAATGACATAATTTTTTGTAATTTTTTTTAAATTTAGAAAAGTAACTTCAGATTCATATTTTAAGGTTTTATTTTAATCATAATGGGCAAATACATTGCGGGAAGTCTCCATAGTAGGAAAAAAATTATACCAACCACTCAAAAAGAAGATGACTGTGCATAGCTAGATTCTTTGTGCATGCCTGTAACAATCAGAAATATTAATACAGGTATATACAATAACCAAAGATATATATCCATAAGAACTGTTTTCAAATTATATTATTAGCTTAAGGATATGTGGGTTTAGAGAAAAATCTATATGGTCATACCTCCAGTTTCTTGTTTCAGACAAACAAAGACATATGATACTTAAATGTACACAGATGATGTCATTATGGATAGATTGGTCTGTAATATTTACAGTAATTTGGAGAACTAGCTATCCTGCCTTCCCATTGAAGAATCACAAGGCTACAGTTCAGCTTAACTGTAGCATGGCTTCATCAAGCTATCATTTCACACAATGCAGCAAACTGGGAAACAGAAAATTCTGTACCTCTTATCTCCTAAATATTGTGCAATTTTTGATCTTCTGAGATATGCTGGAATTATATAATATACAAAAGACACTTCTCACTAATTAATGTGTGATCACATACATGAAAGGAATTTGTTTTCAAAATAATATTATTATAGGTATTGATTAAACTGTTTTTAAAATACTCCAAATTAATATCTCTTTTATTTGTATTTCAGGTGATCCCACTATCCAAAGGGAGAGCAATCATTTCTCAGAATATTAGACATTTAGTTATACCAGAAAATTTGAAGCCCACAAAAATAATGAGCTTGATAAAGGCACCTGATCACCTTCACCAACATTATAATGGAAAGTTACATTTTAGTATTGTTGCAGATGATAAGGATGGACACTTTGAAATAGACAGCTCAACTGGAGACTTGTTTCTTTTTAAGGAACTTGATTATGAAACGACATCTCATTATCTTTTCAGGGTGATTACTACAGACCATAGTAAAAACCTTTCCCTGAGTAGCACAGTTTTCCTTAGTATTGATGTGGAAGATCAGAATGACCATTCCCCGTCTTTCCAGGATGAGCTCATTGTGATCAGCGTAGAGGAGAATGTTCCCATAGGAACTCTGGTGTACATCTTTAATGCCAAAGATGGTGATGGCAGTTTTTTGAACAGTAGAATACAATACTACATTGAATCCCACAACCCTGGCATGAATCCATTTCTCATCCACCCCTCATTTGGCACATTAGTCACTGTGTCCCCTCTTGACAGAGAGAGCCTTCCAACTGTCACCCTGACAGTAACTGCGTCTGATCAGGCTGTGAATGTTACAGACCGGCGACTGAGATCACTGACGGCACAAATAGTGATTTTGGATGTAAATGACCACAAGCCCACTTTTATGTCTTTTCCCTTTGCCCATGTGAAAGAGGATGTCACAGTGGGCTCCTTGGTGCACCGTGTAACTGCTCATGATCCAGATGAAGGAAGGAATGGAAAAATAACATACAGCATCCTCTCAGGAAATGAAAACATGGTGTTTATGCTAGATGAGTCATCAGGTACAGTGCCCTATATGTCACTTTTTAAAATATTTTATTTTATTGTGGTAAGAAAACATGAGACCCACCCTCCTAACAAAGTTTTAAGTGTGCAATACATTGTTGTTGACTATGGGTTCAATGTTGCACAGCATAGCTCTAGAGATTATTCACCTTGCTTAACTGAAACTTTAGTTTCTGCCGTTCTCCTTTCCATCCAGCCTCTGACAATCACCACTGCACTCTTTGCTTCCATGAATTAGACTATTTTAGACACTTCATGTAAATGGAATCATGGAGTTTTGTCTTTTTGTGACTGGCTTATTTTACTTAGCATAAGGTCCTCAAGATTTATCCATACTGTCACATCTTGCAAAACACCTTTCTCTTTTAAGGCTGATTGTCTTCAACTGTATGCACATACCACATATTCTTTAACCATTCATCTGCCGATTAACATTCTTAGGTTGTTTCTACATCTTGGCTATTGTGGATGGTGCTGCAGTAAACATGGATGTGCTCTCTTCAAGATCCTGATTTCAATTCTTTTGTATAAATATCCAAAAGTGGAGTTGCTGGGTCATATGATGGTTCTGTTTTTATTTTTTGAGGAACATCCATACTATTTTCAATAGTGGCTATAACATTTTGGATTCCCACCAAAAGTGTAAAGGGTTCCAACTTCCCTACGGCCTCACCAATGCTTGTTGTCTTTTATTTTTTCAGTAATAGGCATCCTAACACGTATGAATGACATCTCATTGTGGTTTTGACTTTCATTTCTCAAATAATTAGTGACATTAAACATTTTTTTCATATATCTGTTAGCCATTTGTATGTCTTTTTTGGAGATATTTCTATTCAAATCTTTTGTCCATTTTAAAATTAGGTTATTTGCTTTTTCTTATGTTTAGTTATAGGCATTACACACACACACACACACACACACACACACACACACACACACACACACTGGATATTAACCCCTCATCAGATAAATTGTTTGCAAACATTTCCTCCCATTCTATAGGTTGTCTTTTTCTTTACTCTTCAGAAGCTTCTTAATTGTACATAATCTCCCTTGTTTATTTTTGTTTTTGTAGTCTGGTTTTTGTTGTGTATCCATGAAATAATTGCCAAGACCCAGGTCACAAAGCTTTCCCCCATGTGATTCCTTCTAGGACTTTTATAGTTTCAGGTATTACATTTAAGTCTTTAATCCGTTTTATTTTGTTTAATTTTTGCATGGTATAAGCTTAGGATACAACCTTATTCATTTGCATGTGGATATCCAATTTCCCCACACCATTTGTTAAAGAGATTAACCTTTTTCTAATGTGTATTATTGGCAACATTGTTCAAGATCAATTGACCATATACATGTGGATTTATTTCTGAGCTCTCCACTCTGTTCCATTGGCCTAAGTGTTTGTCCTATGCCAATACCATAGTGTTTTGATTACTATAGCTTTTTAATATATCGAAGTCAAGAAGTGTGATGCCTCCAACTTTGTTCTTTCTCAAGATTATTTTGACTGTTGGGGTTCTTCGAGATTCCATTTGAATTGCAATATTATTTTTTTCTATTTCTGCAACAAACGCCATTGGGATTTTGGTGGAGATTGCATTGAATCTGTAGATCAGTTTGTCACTTTGGGTAGTGTGATCATTTTAATGATATTAGACCTTTCACTCTGTGAACATACGTGTCTTTCCATTTGTATCTTCTTTAATTTCTTTCATCAATGTCACCTCCTTAGTTAACTTTATCCCGAAGTGTTTTATTTTATTCCTTTTTGTGCTATTGTCAATAGAATTGTTTTTCTAATTTCCTTTTCAGATAGTTATTGTTAGTGTATAGAAATGAAGTGATTTGTGAATGTTGGTTTTTGTACCCTACCTTTTCTGAATTTATTTGTTCTAACAGTTTTTTGGTGGAGTCTTTAGGGTTTCCTACATATGAGATCATGTAATCTACAAACAGGGATAATTTTACTTCTTCCTTTCTGATTTGGATGCCTTTCATTTCTTTTTCTGCCACTTCCAATTAAAGCCTCTCATCACTTGCTTATATTTACCTTTTTCATTTTCTTCTCTTAAAATGATGGTTCTCAAGATACATATGGTTTAACCTTTTTTGACTTCTTTTGTTGTTTAATTTAGGTATATATAATAGGCACAGAGGTTGTATTTGGAAAACCAACTTTAATTGTCCTGTTAGTTAATATTAACTATGCTCTGTAGCTAGCTGACATTATGGGCTGAATACACAACAGAAGACTTCTTTGTGCCCATTGTGAGTCCTTGCAGGGTAGGATATGGTACCAAAAGTGAATAAAGATAGCAGTATGACAGATCAAAAGCATTGTTCAAGGACTTTGATATGGAAACTTATCTTTGAGATTATACAAACATATGTTTGTAAGTGTTGGAAATAATATATATTTTTAATGGCTGAATTCATTTGGATATTAAGACCCTTGCTTTTCACATCAATTGTAACATTTAGTTTTTTAAAGAAGCATTTATTCACTGTCAGGTACTCTGCAGAAATGTCACTCACTCTCACTTCACTTGTCTTGCTGTCACCATGTTGCTAGGTAACATCTATTATATGTTTTTTATGCTGCTGATGGAAGAATAAATGTACACATTTTTAGTCTTTTGACTTTAAAAATGAACTTCCCTCTACTCATTTTTAAGGGGATATTGAAAAATTAATGAACTATCATCTTATTCACTAAAAAAAAAAGTTATTTCTACATAAACCTTAGAAAAAAATATCAGATATATACCATTTGGCCCAACTGTTAGTTAAAAGCATTATTTGGAATGGAATTGAATGTGTAGGATTTGGAAGTCATGATTATAGTCTGGCTATATTCCGTTGGAAAATTTCATCAAAATATTTATTAAATCCTGTACATATGGTTTCATTCTGAGGCACGCATGGACACCACCTAAATGCCCAACTGACAGAGAAATAGTCCAGACACAGGCTGCCGATATCTGTTAGAGCTGAGGCTCTCCAAGGACCTGTTTCAGTAATATTTGGAATGTGTTCCAAGATAGCTAAGGAAGGTATATTTCAGATTGTTAAAAAGGATGGATAAAATTAGACTTGTGTTTTGGTAATATAGGTCCCAGAATCTCTTGAGTAATTGCAGTGACTGTTTCAATGGAAGTGTTTTTCAAAGACATAAAATGATAATTGCCAAAAGCATTCATATGAGATGGGATATTTTTTCTCTCACAAGGCTCATATTTCTTATAAAGAAGACAGTGAGTTTTTTTGGTGGCTATGGCTGTGAAATATAAAGTGATGAGTAATTTAAAACAAAACTATTTTATAAAATAGAATTCAGTAAACCTCTAAGTATTTAAGAAAAATTCTTATAAAATGGGAGACGCAAACAGCAATCTTAAAAGCAAAATGTAATAATTGGAATCATGTAATAACTATCTATGTGCAAGTCTTTATTATACCTGACTTACATGGTTTATATGCTAAAATGGCAGTGGGATAGAGACATGTTTTACTTGTGGAGATTATTGTCTGAGTTATAACATCTTTGCTCTATTTTTTTTCTTTTGTTGAAATAGAGTCTTGCTCTGTTGCCCAGGCTGGAATTAAGTGGTGCAATCTTAGCACACACAGCCTCCGCTTCCTGGGTTCCAGTGATTCTCTCACCTAAGCCTCCCAAGTAGCTGGGATTACAGGTGCCCACCACCATGCCTGGCTAATTTTTTGTATTTTTAGTTGAGACGGGGTTTCACCACATTGACTCAGCTGGCCTTGAACTCCTAACCTCATGCATGAGGTGTTATGTGACATGATGATATATATTGTTAGTATCCCACATATTTTTAAAAATGAGGTAGATGTTGAGACTAGATAATTTTAATGTAGTGCTCTCAGTAGATAATTGAATAACATAGATTATTTTTGAATTGTTTTGTTTGATATAATTTAAATTGGGATGACTTTTCTGATTAAAAATGTTAGCTTTTAATTGTAGATAGTGTATACATTTAAAGACGGTTTAATACAGTTCATATTTTAGCAGTTAAGACTTCTGAATGTTTACCTAGGTAAACAAGATAGACATAAGTGGAGTAAGCATGACTTTCATAAGAATATATGTTGCTTTTCTTCTGTTTTCGAAACAGGCTTACTAACTACAACTTGTCCTTTGGATTATGAAATGAAAACTCAGCACATTCTGACTGTTCTGGCACTGGATGATGGCACACCAGCACTTTCTTCATCCCAGACTTTAACAATTACTGTTCTAGATGTAAATGATGAAGCTCCAGTATTTAAGCAGCAGCTGTATGAAGCTTCAGTGAAAGAAAATCAAAATCCAGGGGAGTTTGTCATAAGGGTTGAAGCTCTGGACAGAGATTCAGGTAATTTAAAAATACGGAAAATATGCATTAATTCTTAAAAAAATTGAAGATTATAATTGACATAATTTATAACAGTTATGGCTCAGGAAAAATAAACAGTTGCTAGTTATCTCAAATTTCTAATACTTTCATTTGCACCCACACAGAAACATATACACCTGTAAAGATATACATATATAACATAATATAGGATTTGCTGTATTAACTTTATTACTATTTATAACAGGGTGAAACACACCTAATTAACATTTGCTTGTATTAACCTTATTATTATTTATATTACGGTGATACACACCCAATTAACATATACTGTATTGACTTGACCTTGATAATTGAAGTATGGACAAAGCATCACATTTCTTTCAGAGTATGAAAGTTAGATACATTGAGAACAAGAAGCGAAATCTTTATTTCCTCTGTATATAGCATAGTGGAAGAGCTGTGGTGCTGGTGTCAGACCACCTGGGTTTGAATCCTAGAACTACCATTTACTTACGCCATGTGACCTTGAACAGGTTACTAATCTTTTCTATTTCCCTACTTATCTGTGATATGGAGATAATATCAGTGCCTAAATTATAGTTTTGTTATGAGCATGAATGAATTATTACATCTAAAGAGCTTAGACCAGTGTCTGACACAATAAATGGTCAATATGTTAACTTTATCACTATTTTTACTAAATTCAACCACTGTGTCCAGACAAATGACTTTGGAGTGAACAGTTAACTATGGTTAGGAATTTACAAATTTCTTAGACTTGCTTTTCAACATCACTGTGGCTGTTTTGGCAATTAAGTTTCACCAATTTAATCATATTCTGCTTTTACCTTAAACAAAATTACAAAAATTACAGTGCTGTGTTTCACAGAATTTTTCCATCTGAACTAGTATGAATAGTTTATATTCCCATTCAGATGGGCAACACTGAACTAATATGAATATGAATATTATATGAATATAAACTATTCGTGTTAGTTATCTTTAATAATCCAGTCTTTTAAAATTTAAATCTGTATATAGCAAATGGCATTATATATCAATGTAATATTTTGTTATATTTTTGCAAGAATTGTGATAGATATTTTTATGAAAATAATATTAACAATAGCATTTCCTTGTACATTGTTAATTTAAGGGGCAAAAGATACATTTACATGAAATTTTAAACCAAATTAAAAATATTTCAATACTGGGCCTATTTGGAAAACATCTTCTCTTAACAAAATGTACTTTACGTGAATTTATATGTGATGTTACGAACACTTTTCAAGGGCTACCCCAATTTTCTGTCTTTGACCAGAGTGGGGCAGTGTGATCAAAGAGTTTTCCTAAGAGGCGACATTGAAGCATGCTAACGATTGTTTACTCCAATCTGTGCTTAGAACTTTGCACATTTTTGGCAGTATTCATTTTTAGGGTGGCAGAAACAATGAAAAATATACATAGGCTTTGTGTTTTAGAATATTTTCTTCTCAATAAAGTTCTCTTAGAGTGTTATCTGTAGAAACAGAGCAGTATAGAACACTGGGCAACACAAAAACTACTCCCCAAAGTATGTAGACATACACTGAACCTTATGCTGATGTGTGATTTTGCTATCAGTAAGGTATGTAAAATGCTTCTTCCCTTTGGCCTTGCTTTATTTTATGAATTTTATTTTTTTAATGGATTCTACTAGAAAGATTCCTTTTGCTTTAACGCTTGAAGAGGGACAAAAGAATTTCTCTCAAAATTTGCATATATTAACCAAAGACAATTACCATAAATATATTCTTCTGATTTTACTGTCAAATTGCCCAGTTTTAATGCTATTTTCATTTAGAATGAATTGTCTACAACCTACTAATTATAATTGAATTGAAACTTTATTATTCTAGAGATTATGGTTTGCCAACTGGAAATTTAGACACAAAATTGCTGTTTTTATGGATTAATGGATGTTTGAAATACACATTAACATCTTCATGAGTCTCATGTAACCTTACGTATTTTGGAGACAATTTTGATTTACTAGGAAATCTCAGTGTTTTTAATGAGGCCAGATCTGTTAAGTAGATGATTACGTCAATATATGTGAATATTTGTGTATATGTACATACTTTTGAATATATTTTCCCTCAATCTTTTTCTTTTTTGATTATTGGGTTAAAACAATGAAAATAGGATTATGCATGAGAATTAAATGACATAGTCAGGATTTTAACATAACTGGCATTACACTGGAATTTATTAATGGTTTACTTTATAGTATGTATTTTTTATAAATACCATAGCATTACTCAATACTAGAGAGCTTAACATGTGTTTTCTAGCATTCTATGATGCAGTTTTTAAAAATGTAAGTATACAGTGTTATTTGGTATTCAAAACCCAGAGGGATTTGAGCACTGAATGTTTATGGTGTATGACTCACACTAGCTCTAGCAGGAGTTTCTTCTTATATTAAAAGGAAAAAACAACTACCAGATTTTAACTAACGTATTAAAACTACAGAATTTGGTGCCACCAACAAGAGCTCTATTGTTAGTGAAAAAAGATCTCCCCCTGCGGTGCCCTTTCCTCACTCCCAAGAGGAAAGGGTGCCCCACTGGGAATACCAGTCACTTATGTTCGCTCAAGGGTGTCGAACACAAAATAACAGTACATTGCCACAATAAAATATAGAACTCATTAATGAGATGTTATTCTCTATTCCATAAAAATGTATTCTATATCTGGGTCATCTTCAGTAAACTACATCTGGTTTTCTGGAATCCCTTGTGCTACGCTACAACTGCACTGCCTAAGTCTACACTTGGAGCCAGGGAGAAACACCGTATTTCATCAAATTTAAAACACCATTAATTGTTAAGATGCATCTACTTTCAGAAATGTGAAAAGCAAATGTATCTTAGAATTAATGCAATATGGTAAATAGGGGCTCCCTCCCTTGGCTTTGGAATACTCCTACTGGGCTGATAGCTTTATCTTCATAGGAAGTTTCAAGGTGCCATTCTGTATACCCTTTAGAAGGTGACTTATTTGTATGTATACCAAAGAATAAAGGTTAAAAATGTTTAAAAAAATCTGAATGTATGGCATTTTGTAACAATAATTTCTCACTTGAGTGGACAATACTATCTGGCTATTCAGTTTATTTTAAATTCTTCTTTATGGCATGGCATTTCCTCTGCATCATATACAAAGGCAAAATATCCACCAACTTTCCTCCATAGTTTATTTAAAGAGAACATACTCCTAATGCTTTGTTTTTATTTATTTATTTATTTATTTTTTATTTTTATACAGACAGAATCTCACTGTGTCGCCCAGGCTGGAGGGCAGTGGCCCAATCATGGCTCGCCTCAGCCTCAAACTCCTGGCTTCAAGTGATCCTCCAGCCTCCACCTCCTAAAGTGTAGGGATTGCAGTCATGAGCCACCACGCTGGGCCCCTCTGCACTTTATTAGTAGTTGTTCATTGACGTGCCCGTCATTCTTTCTTCAGTGGCATTGGCCGACCATTTAGATTCAATCTAATTACTCCAGGGATGCATAAGGAGATCCACGAGATTCAGGTGCAGGTCAATCTTACTGGCTTTGCACCATTCTAGCAACTTTGATTATACCAGTCCCAAGAGAAGGATTTAGAGGTGGGCTAGATTATAGGGCATTTCAAAGGTTGAATTTCCCAATCCAAGGCTATGGAACATTTGCTAGGAAAGTCACAACAGCATGCTAATGAAGCCACCACCCACTTAAGCTGCAGTACTTCTGCTAACCCCTTAGGACTGTTATATTTGCCTTGGCTCTCTCTGTATAAATTTTCTCTCCATATAAAAAAAGATTCTATGATAAACACATTTGCATAAACATAAAAAATAAGCAGATGAAAAAGAATAAGGATCAGTCATAACCTCACTCACTCAGAGACAATCACTGTTAAAACTTTGGTATATATTCTTAATACATTTAATATATAGCATTATAATTATGTAAATGCTCATTTGTCTGCTTTTTCTCGAGGCTGTGAACTTCTCCTGGACTCAGGACTTTTTATTTATTAATATTTTTATTCCAAGTTCTTAGAGTGGTGCAAGATATGATGTAGGAACTCCATAAACATTTTTGACCATATGGTCTGAGAAACTGAAGCATGTCTGACATAAGCTTCCTCAGGCTGCCTTTACTGTTCATAATTTATTCATTTATTTATTTCTTTATTCATTCAGCCAGGCATAATTCTATTTTTCCTTTAGAAATGCCTGACTGTGGGTCATTGTACAGTTGAGGCATTACACAAAAAAAAATCTTGGCTGGACACGGTGGCTCATGCCTGTAATCTTAGTGCCTTGGGAGGTCGAGATGGGAGGACTGCTTGAAGCCAGGAGTTCAAGACCAGCTTGGACAACATAGCAAGACCTTGCCTTTACGAAAAAATTATAAAAATTAGTTGGGCATGGTGGTACGCTCCTGTAGTCTCAGCTAATCAGCAAGCTGAAGTGGAAGGATGGCTTGAGCCCAGGAATTTGCTGCAGTGAGCCATGATTGTGCCTCTGCACACTCCACCCTAGGTGGCAGAATGAGAGTCTGTCTTAAAATAAAAAGAAAAGAAAAATGATCTTCCTAAAAATAACACACCCCGGCAAGAATTCTTTATTATTTCTCCATAGTTTGAGGAAGAGGAGGATAAGGTTTTGTGCCTTTTAGCTTAACAGTCAGCTTTCCTCTCTGCCCTCAGCTCCTATTACTGTCCCATCTTTTACTCTAGGATAGAATTCAGCAAAACTTTCTCTGATAAAGGACTAGGGAGTACTTATTTTAGGCTTTGTGTGTTTTATGGTCTCTTTTGTGCAACCCTGACACTATAGCAAGACAGCAGCCATAATTAATATTGTGCCTGTATTTCAATAAAACCTTACATAAACAGGGAGCAGGCCAGATTTGACCACTGGACTGTAGTTTGCCAATCCCTAGTCTAATGCATGTGTCTCGTTAAGACACCTGTTACTTGCTGCC